AAGCACCTCCAGAAAGTTTACCTGAATAGTACTAACCTGCAGTCTCTTCCTGCAGACTTCTTTACTGCTTTACCTGAGCTGGAAGAAGTTGTCCTTGACGACAACCCTTGGAAATGTGATTGCCAAATTCTTGGCTTCCGAGAATGGCTCCAGAAGAGCACAGCAATAGTTAAAAATGTGCCATCTCTGATGTGCCACAGCCCACTGGCACTGCAGAATATTTCTCTTGTGTCTCTAAGCATCGATGACCTGGAGTGCCTGCCAACCACAGCTATGACCTATCAGACGTTCAGCTCAACTTTGACATCTCCTGTGACGGAGCACTTCACATCACCTCAGGAGACTGCTGTAACAGTGCTGTCTGACATGGAAATGACCAGCACACCCACATCCATTCCTCCTGCAACTCCAAGTTTTACCTACTCCCATGTTGAAGATGTTGGACAACCTGGGCTACACTTCTCAGATGTTCCAGTCCAAACTTCTCCCAGCATCATAGCACGAACCAGCAGTGTTAGAGGGACAGATTTAACTACTCTTGTTTGGTGGGATGAGTTTCCAGCCCACAGCAGTGCTAAACCCTATTTTAATATCAGAGTTACTTATTGCCAGCTACTCTTGTGTGTTCACAGTTTGATTTTAACACTCCAGACTGTAGTCATTGTGCTCAGTCTGTATGTGATGGGTAACACTAGGCAACTCTTGCTCTCCAGAAATATTCCTGCTCAGCCTGTAGTTCTGATAAGAATATCAAGAAGATAGAGAAATCTAGCCCAAGAAAGGACTGGAAGTGTTGCTTTGGATGTTTTTTGAACATTTGAGCAGTTAATACTTGATTCCAGATCTTCATAGCAAAGACCATAAGGACCTTGTCTTTGTAACATAATGGAAATGAGTTTTATGTACCTTGCAGCATTTGCCAGGAGTGGCTGTAATCACTGTAAATTGCTACAGCACTTAGTGCATGAACCCAGAGGGCAAGATGGAAGTGCTGTGGGTTTCCTGCCTTGGAGTGCTGCCCTGTCCTCTGCCAGAGGCTGCTGGCTGCTGGGTGTTCACTGCTCAGATGGAATGCCATCAACGGAGGAACTCTTACATAGGAACATGGCTTCAGCTGTGCTTTAGAGATCACCCAAAGAACTCCAATAATATTATTTCCTCTACTGCCTGCAACCTTTTGTCTCCTTAATGAGAAAAAAAAATGGTGGTTTTGGGAGGAGATGCTGGGAAGGGACCTTTAAACAATGGGGATGTGTGCAGAATGGTGTGGTGGAGTGTCTTAACTTCTGCTTTCCATCCTCAGCCCCTTTCCAGGACGTGGCACAAGGAAGGGATACCAATCAAAGCTAACAGCAGAGGAAGATGCTGAGCTAGGAAGTATAATCGTGATGTATTTTATTGTTTGACTGGAGGTTTTCTGGAAACGTTGTAAAGTTCCTACAACTCTGAATTTTAAGTAAACACTTTCATCCTTAAACTTTGGCTAGTGGTCTGAAAAAACTAGGTGTTCCTAGCTGCACGATGCAGGGAATCTTGAAACCAGAGTACCAGGAGGATGTCCAGGACTGAGGAGGGGCTCCACAGGCAAGAATTGGTTTGAGAGCTGATCTGGACTGAGCTGGAGAGAAAAAAATGTTCTCTCCTGGGCTTGGCTAGCAAAACAGCAGCATGCAGCTGAGGGGCAGGGAGCCTGCCTGAACTGAGGGCCACAAAGTATCACCTACATTTTGAAATTGGCTGGGGAACATATACAACCTCATCAACTTGGAGTGTTCAGTCACATTTTCAGTCTCACTATTTTTTACCTTATTACATCCTGCTGTTCCCTGACTTCCAGTCCTTTCAAGTGTTGATGTGCAAAGACAACTACTAGACAATAATGTGGGTTTTGGTCTTTATACTAACATTTTATTAATATTTTGAATTGTATGAATATTTTAGATCAGGTAGACTAGTGGCTGTCAGACTGCCTGTGCTTTAGTAGCTCTTGGATTTAACTATCAGCTTTTATCTACATTGTGGGACTTAGTTTGCTTTTAAAAGCTCTGATGTGCTTAAAAACCTGTGAGTTTGAATCCCTGGCTTCTTGGGCCAGAGAGCCTCTACTCTAGGAGTAATTTTGTAACCTTAGTGACTTTCTCAATATTAGGGACTTTACTGGATGGCCTTTAAATGCATAACAGATTTGAAGTAAAGAAAACTTGCATTTCCTGCAGGTTGGTTATGGTTGGTTCTCTGCTGTGTGTTACTGTAGGCATGAAGAATAAACTGTGACTTCTTTGTTTCAGGGTGCTCTGCTGCTGGGCCTAAATTCCTCTTTGAAAAGACAGAATGTGCTTCTATAGTGTTAAATGATCATTGTCTTGCTGGTGAGCTTTAACAAAATTTGGCAAACCAGGCTAAATGGGAGTTAGAGCTATCACTAAAGAAGCAGAAACACAAGTCACTGCAAGTGGTGCAAAGCAAGCTGTGACTGGAATCACAAACAGATGCTCCAGAATATTTACTGCAATATAATTGAGAGAAGCACAAAACTAACAGTGAGCTTTCTCAGTGGTAGTTCTGGGTGGTTGCATGTAGTATTTAAGAAGAGAGAGTTGTTGCAAATTTAGTTTCTTGGTTGGACAGCTGTAATAACCCCTCGGTGCTGTGCCAGCTCCAGCGCTGTCGCACGGTGCCACGCAGGCAGCTGCTCGCAGCAGGCAGGTCAGGATATCAGGGCTAGTGAGGAAATTCTGTCTTTGACTTCTACAAACCATGCTGGGGATCGTTACCTCAGTGAAGGAAGTGTGCTCCGGGTGCTTGGATGCACAGTGTCTGATTTGTGAGGAAAAGCCCCTGTTTGCCCATGGTGTGGGTATGACACCTTGCTGCCCACCCCAGGGCAGCACCAGCTGTGCCCTTGTGAGCCCTCTCTGGCTGCCCTGGCCCTGCAGAGCCCCAGCTGGGCCCCCACGCTGCTCCTTGGCTCCGGCTGCAGCCGCTGAGCTCCAGCTCTGGCACGTGGGGGCTCTGGCACAGAGCTGTGCACAGGCAAGGCTGGGACATGATGATTCCTCTTCCAGGATGATTCCTCCTCACATGCTGTCATCGGGCTTTCCCCATGCCTGAGCCAGACTGGGGGAAGTGAAGTCATCAGACAACAAAAGGCTGCAGCAATGAGTGCCTGGGGTGGTTTACTAACTTTCCTCTGAGGTGTACTTGTTTTGAGCTGCTTCTGATTCATTGTTTCTTGCCCAATAGAGCTCAGCCCTTCCTGAAAAATTCCCTGGCCTGAGAAGTCCAAGGATATCCTTGTGCATACTCCATTTCTGTTTTTCCTGGAGAAGGGTTAGTTTTCCAGGTCAGCACGATGCAGCTGTGGCCGGAGGAAGGCAGCAGGCTGGTCCCTCAAAGCACTGTTCCCTTGTGTGCAAGGATTTTCTCAGTCCCTGCAGCCCACACTCGTATCATCTACTGCCCAGCCTTTGCCACCAGGCTGGAAGGGAACACAGTAGGCTGGAGGTAAGAAACTGGAGGTACCTAATCCCTGATCCAGTGGGTCCCTGATATTGGGGAAGAGGTGAATGCAAAGCACATCTGCATACAGTGGCTGAAGGGGTTGGTTCTGCTCTCTTGGCTCCTGATGGGGGTGCAGAGTCATGGTTAACAGCCCTGCACCATTATCCAGACCTCCAGGTCAAGGACCTGCTTCCAGGACCACATCCTGGCTGGGAGTGCTTGGGTACCTCCCCACCAGGCCAGCTGTGCCAGTTTGCTCCATCCCTTCAAGTGCTTGCTGCTGTAGCAGTTGCTCTTGCTCTCTCTGTTGAGGAAATCCTGGAGCAGTGGGAGCTCTGACCTACCCTGTGCCAAGCCATGGGACTATTCATTGTGTTTCCAGCTTGATGTCACCACAAATGCCATTCTCCTTTGCTTGTTGGGAGTTGAATCCAGAGAGTCCCCAAAGCACAAGTTGCTGAGGGTGGAACTGAATGAACTGCTGCCACAAACACTGGCAGCTCTGCCTGTTTCACAGCCACTGCAGCAAGCATTTCCAGCACACACGTCCTTTCCTGGTGTCCTGGTCCTTTCCATCCCACACCTCTGCCTCCTGAGACCAGGAACTGCAGCAGGGCCCTTGTCACTCCTTGCAGAGGGCAGTGAGCTTGGGCAGCTGCAGTTCAGTCCTCCAATGCACAGCAGCAAGATCAGAGCCTGCACCTCAGATCTTCCCTGTCCTGATGTCAAGGAGAAGTAGGGTGATGGCAGATGTGCTTGGAACAGGCCCCAGCAGTGGCTCAGGAGTGATGCAGCTGCTGGCTGCAAGGCAGGAGCCCTGGGAACCTCTGCCTGACATTATGGAGCATTGGCTGTGTCTCCTCCAGGCCTCCAACCAGCAGGGCTGGCCCAGGGCTGCTGATTTGGCAGCTCTGATATCAGAGCATTTCCTAGGGATGTCAGAAGAGCTGGGAGGAGATGCAGCCCAAGGCACGTTCCCAATGGACAAGTCATGAGAATTTACAGACTCACCGTGAGCAGAAGGCCTGAAGCTCCTGCTTTGTCCCAGCTAGGGAGTGGTAAACGTGGGAGGTGTTATGCCTCCATTTTTGTAGCCAAAATCTGGGTTTATACTCACTTGTGGGTGGATAAGTCCTGGGATAGTCTCTTACTTGGGCCAAGGGGGGTGGGTCCCAGTTCACTACAGGCTGGGAGCTTCTGTTCCAGCAGCACCCGGACCCATCCACCCACTGGGCTCAGCAATTGCTGCTGTAGGACTGGCATGCCAGACTTCCAGCTGTGCCTTTGTGTCTCTCTGCACGGAAAAAGCTCAGGGCAGAGAGCCAGTGATGGCTGGCAGCAGCTCTGCAGTCTGCTGTGCACTCCTCTGCTGGCTTCTCCGGGGAAGAGACGAGGCCCCGTTCCCCCTTCGTGTGCTGGGGAGAGGTCCCTGGGCCACTTCGTGGTGCCAGAGGGAGCTTTACAGAGATGGAGCTGATCCAGGGAACATTTCTCAGCGTATGAGCCCCTGCCATCGCCTCCCCCTCTCCCAGGACAAGCTCTTTCCGCTCCGGATTATCCCGCGGGCGGAGCTGGCCGGGCCCCGCATTCCTTCCAGCCTAGCGCTGCCGGAGCCGGGGCCAAGCCCCGCTGCTGCTGCTGCTATCGCTCGGGCCGGGGCGGCTCTGCTGCTGGGGCCAACCCCACTGGAGCCTGAGATCCTAAACGCCGTTTTCCTGGAGCTCCAGGAGGGTTGTGGTGGGCCTGGTGCTGGTACTGGGATGGAGGTCAGCCTGATGGCCGTCCCCGCTAAGCAAAGCTGCTGCTGCTCCCTCCCAGAGCTCCATAAGCACTTTCCCAGGGAAGGCAGGCATGGCCCCGTCCCTTGGGACAGATGATGGCAGAGCAGTGAGGCAGCCCTGGCCCTGCATTCCGCAGGCAGGGTGGGAAAATGTCCCTAGGGCCGGATCACTGGCCCTATGGAGGAGCTCTCTCATTTGAGCTCCTCAAAGGATTAGGGGGGCCCGTGGTGAGGCAGGGGCTGCTGCTGCTTCTCTAAGGGTGGAGGTGGCCCCAGCACCAGTCCCTGAGGGACTAATGTCCCTTCCTTCACCCCTCAGCTGTGATGTGAGCCTGTAGGTCCTGCTGCAGGGCTCAGGCCCAGAGGTGTCCCCTGTGCTGGAACACGGGGAGCACTCCCTCTGTGGCCCCAGCCCAGCCCTCCATCCTCCTCCTCCCCTTCAGCAGAGTTTGGCCTGGGGCCTGGGGCCAGCTGTGTGCACCAGGGGCCACCGGGCTGGGGGTTCACAGCAGGGTGGGCACTTTGCAGCAGCACAGAGTGACTGGGGGGTCCCAGCACTGCCCTGCAGGCCATGGGCACGGCTTGCCCTGCCCAGGGTGCCAGTTCAGGCATGAGTGGAGGTGAGCAGGATCAGGGGCTTTCAGGGGGAGCTGGGTCTGCATGGCGTGGGTGAGCACGCTCAGCTGCTTGGCAGATGAACAATGTGCTCTCCCAGCCAAGCCCACAATGCTAATTTTAGCGATTACATGAGTTTTTCCAAGCAGTCTCGAGTCCCTTGGTGATTCAGAGCCACTCAGCTTTGCTGCATCCACCACCCTGGCCGTGGGGATGTGCTGGAGATGTGCCAGCATGGACAGACAGACAAGGGACTGTCCTGCTGTCCTGTAGCAAGGCAGGCAGCTCCAGCAACAAGTGACACTGCTATTCTTGGGCTCTATTGTCTCCTTGAAGGTGCAGGGATACAACAGTGGTTCCACACTATCCAGGGCTTGGCTGGGGGGGCTGCAGCCTCTGGCTGGTGCAGCTGGAGCTGGGACAGGTCCACCAGGCAATGCTGAACCTGGGGCTTTCCTGCAGCATGAGACCCACTCCATCCAGCACTGTGTGAGTTCCTGGCTATGTGGAACAGCCTCTCCCTGCAAAATGCTCATCTCACCCTCAATCACATCCGTTTTCTCTCTCAGGAGCCGCCTCTCTCCTCCAAACGTGTGGGATGAGTCTGTGCTGCCGTCCCAAGCTGTCACACCCTCTGTTCCTCTCCCTTGTAAGTAGCCTGGGGCAGCCCCCCATGTGCTCACCTCTGGGAGTGGCTGCAGAAGCGGCTCACGGGCGTGTGCCGTTTGTTACTCAGCCCTGCTTTATTTTTAGCCACGTCTTGCAAACAATCATCTTTTCCGGCTGGAAGCCAGAAGTAGTTTCCTGAGGCCTGGGTAGAGACAGGCAGGGTTTTGTCAGGGCTGTTACCTGCACTGCTCTGAAACTTTGCATGGTGGTAGGGACCATAATCTGATGACCCCCCAGTTGGGGCAGGGTGTTTGAGATACCCATCACTGCATCATTGCTTGGAAGGAGGCAACTCCAACATTCCTGGGATGATCTGGGCTGGGGCAGTGGTTTATTGGAAGTGCTGAGGTTCGGTTTCTGTGTTGCCTGGCTGAAAAGCTGTGAGCTTCTGGATGAGTCAGAGTGGGCAGAAGCCCAGCAGCACTGGCAGCGGGCAGACAGAGCCATGATAAGGCTGTGACAAGGCTGTGATAAGGCTGTGAGAGCCCAGCTCTTGTGTCAGGGCTGCAGGGAGCAGGCAGCTCCCAAGCCCTGTGCCTGACCTTCAGCTGCAGGGCTGTCACAGAAACGGGGAGATTGTTTTGGGAAGTGTGGTTCTGGGAAACTGCTGTGTCACTAGAGTGTGAACTAGAGCACTTGGTGGGTGGTGTTTTCAAAATGCCCATTCTCTGTGCCCAAACGCCTGGGTGTTGCCCCAGAGCAGGCAGGAACATGGCCAGGGGTAGTTTCACCCACCTTCCAGCCAGAGGGGTCTGTGGCCATCCAGCATGTGCTATGGCAGATGGCCTCTCATGCGATGTGACATCATGGTGGCCGTGTCCTCCAGCTGAGGTCCCACTCCCTGCCATGTTCCCACGATCCCTGTCTCCTTCCTTTGAGACTGTCTGGGAGCTCTGCTCTCCATCCCTGCAGTTTGTGTTTGTCCCGGTCTGTCCCCTCTCTGTCCCCTCCGCTGCCCTGCAGGCTCCCAGCGCTCACAGCATGACACATTTCCTCCCTTCCCCGGCAGCAGCCCCAGCTGTTCCCGTCCTGAGCAGCTCCTCGGTGCCACCGGAACCTCAGCAGAGGTTGCTGCAACGGGGGAGGCACGGGTGGGGTGGGGTGAGAGGGGATGGGAGGCAGGCAGGGAAGTTCCCATTGCCCTGTTCTGAGCAAGGGACTGCAGTGTCTCTCCAGGAAGCCCAAAGGGGCCACGTGCACCGACTCTCCTCACCTCCTTCCTCCCGAATATCCGTTCCCGGCAGCGGCTGGACCGGGACTGCCCGGAGGAGGTGGGCGAGGTGGGGGGACCTGGGCTGGGTGACGGGACCCAAGGGCACCCCAGTGCACCCCTGTGTGCTGGAGGGCAGGGAGGGCTGGCAGCAGGTGCCCCTGAACAAGCTGATGGATGCTTTCCAAACACCCCTGGGTACCAGGCTCCATCACCTGTGTGTCAGCACTGCTGAGGGGGCAGAGCAGGGGCAGCCATTGGGAGACAGCTTGTCTGGGGTTCCAGGGATGCCTGCAGTGGGGGTTCCTCGGTGCCAAGGTGTTCCTCACGGCTTGTGGGCAATGCTCTGGATTACTGAGGGCTCTCTGAAGCAGCCTGGCCCATGGCTGGCACCCACACAGCTGCTGACCCTGGCACAGTTCTTGCTTCCTGGCAGTGCTGGTTGTGGTGCCCACAGGACAGAGCCCACAGTGGGTGCTTGTGGGTTTGTGGCCCCTTGGCATCTGTGGCTGTGGGGGGAATGAGAGCTGTGACCTGGGCAGGGTCTCTGTGCCAGGGTTCTGCCTGTACTGGCCCTGGGCTGGGGCATAGCCCGAGGTCCTGACACTTACAGGAGCCATGGATGGGGAAACAAGAGCTGTGCCTATGCCAAGAAAGTGCCATGGAGCAGCCCTGGTGTGGAGTCATGCCAGGGAAGGACAGGGTTGTGCCCAGGGGTCTGGCTTTGCATGTCTGCCCCCATGGGTCAGTGGCTGTGTCCCACAGGGGGACTCTGAGGGCCAAGCCACTGCCTGGGCACTGGCTGACATGAGCAGCATGTTCACAGGGCCCTCTGTTTGTCTCCTTACAAGAGCACTGGGGTTCAGGAGGGGGAAACCCAAAAGTGATCCTTGAAGTGCGTGCTCTGCTGAGGAAACAGGAGTTGGAAGCAGCTCTGCTCCAGCGCTTTCCCTAACCCCGCCACTGCCCCTGTGCTGATTCATTGATTTGGACGGGTTATATTCTGGGAGGGGAAGAATGAACCACACTCTGCTCTCCTGCCAGCACGGGGCTGTGCTCGCTCGCTGCTCGTGGCTGCAGGACACTCGGGTAAGTCTCCTTCTCCTGCTGTCCCTCTGAGTGGACACGGGTTCCAGGGACTGCCAGGGCAGCTCTGAGGGGTGGTGGTGGAGTAGTGGGATCTGCATGTTCAGCACCTTTTCATTTGATGGAGATGTTTATCTTGCAAAGGTTCTCCGAAAAAGTGAGACCACTTGGATGCTGTGGGAGCTGAAAGAGTTTCATAGGCAATGTATCCTAGACAATGATCAAGAGAGAAAATTAAACAGCAAAGTACTGTTTTGGGGGGCTGATGTTAGGAGCAGTGGGATGAACAGCAGAGAGGGGCTGAACAGCAGAGAATGTTCAGCCTCTTGGTCTGTAAGATTTTTATCCCTAGAAGAAAAAGAGATATCAATTGTTTCCAGCTGCTTTTCCTGAAGATTGCTCCAGTGTGTGTGCTCTCAGTGCTGCCTTAGCAGGGAGTGACATGAGCAGAGCTTTTGATGTGCTGAACTTTGGGGAAGTTTATAAATGTCTTGCTATAAACATAGCTGTTCTTGGATGCAGATTGTTTCCATATGGGAAACATAAACCATCCTGGCTTGTAGAGGGCTCCTCCCTCCCTGCCTGAGAGCAAGAGTGTTCCCTGTGGGGAGGGCAGGGCTGTGCCCCAGTACCCTGGGTGCCAGCTGGGGCACTGTGGCCAGACCCCTGTGCTGCCTGAGTCGCCTGTCTGGCTGAGCCGTGCTCAGAGCAGGAGCTGCAGGTTTTCTCCCTCCCTTGTGCCACATGAAGCTGTTAATGGGGGGCTGCTCCATGCCAGCCTGGCACAAGGCTGCTGCTTTAATCTAGGGAGGGAGGAAGATCACAGGCCAGAGGAGAGAGGAGAGGGTGTCCATGGTGTCTGTGCTCAGGGGTAATGGAGAGCTTTGCTGGGCACCACCCCTGGGACCAGCCTGCAGGCATGTGCCCACATCAGACACCCCACTCATGGCAAAACCAGGCCAGGCTGAGACCTCCTGCTAGGGATGGGGGAACAGGGCCAGCCTGTACCCAGCCTGTGCTGGGTGCTCTTGACCCAGGGTCCTGCAGGACTGGACTAAAGTGCTAGAGCATCCCTATACACTGCTCTTGGATTTGCAACAGGAGCTCAGAGCTCAGAGGGTGCTGGGGGCGCTGGGCCAATGCTGGGACCAGCTGCAGGTGCCACGAGCCAGCTCTGGTGAAGGTCTGGGCTCTTTGGTGGTGCTGGGAGGCCAGTGCTGCTGGCAGCATCTCACCACACTCTGTAAAACAGGAAACCACACTCCTGGCTGCCAGAAGAGCCCAGAGAGCTGGGACGCCAGGGATGCCACTAATAGCTGTGGTATGGCAGCCAGGCACTGTGGCCTCCAGCTCTGTCTTGCTCTGAGCTCCTGCTTGGGCTGAGTCAAGCTTTGCCTGCCCCAAGCCTTCCTTGTCCACCCTTTTCTGCCTCGTTGCCATGCTGGGAGCAGGATGGCCACAACCTCAGTGGCTTTTCCAGGGGGAAAGGAGCACCCATCCCTTGCAGTGACTCTGGAGCTGGGAACCCCCAGGGTTGAAACCCCCTCCTTTGTTTTTTCTGCAGGCCCAATGGAGCAGGGAGGCTGGCAGCAGTGGCTGCTGCTGCTGGTGGGCATCCAGCTGGCCAGCAGCCAGTGCCCAGAGCAGTGCCAGTGTGTCCGCAGTGCCCAGGTGGAGTGCTTTGGTGCCGACATCAGCACGGTGCCCAGCCCCATCCCTGCCAACGCCATGACCCTGCAGATCATCAACACGCGCATCGCCGAGCTGGGCGACGCCGCCTTCGGCAACGCCTCCCTGCTCATCGGGCTGCGCGTGGAGAAGAACCTCCTGTCTCGCATCAGCCCCGCGGCCTTCCAGAACCTGCCCGACCTGCGCTACCTCAGCCTGGCCAGCAACAAGCTGCAGGAGCTCCCTGTGCAGGTCTTTGAGCCTCTGGACAAGCTGGAGTCTCTACTCCTCTCCAGCAACCAGATCCTCCAGGTCGAGCCTTCCCACTTCGCCCATCTGAGCAACCTCAAAGAGCTGCAGCTGCACGGGAACAACCTGAAGGAGCTGCAGGAGGGGGTGTTTGACCAGCTGACCAGCCTCACCAAGCTCAACCTGGCCAGGAATAACATCGACCGCCTGCCGCCCCGGGCCTTCGAGCGGCTGGCACGGCTGCAGGTGCTGCGGCTCTACGAGAACCGGCTCCGGCACATCCCGGTGGGCACCTTCGATGGGCTGCCGGAGCTGCAGGAGCTGGGGCTGCACCAGAACCAGCTGGAGACGCTGTCCCCGGAGCTCTTTGTGCACAACACCAACCTGCAGAAGCTCTACCTGTCCAACAACTTCCTCACCACTCTGCCGAGCGGCGTCTTCTTGCCCCTGCATGCTCTCGCCAAGATCACCCTGCACGTCAACCGCCTGCGGGACATCTCCCCCAGCGCCTTTGGGCCCACGCCCAACCTGCAGGAGCTCTGGCTTTACGAGAATGAGCTTTCCAGCCTCCCCACTGCCGTCTTCAGCAACCTGACCCAGCTGCAGCTCCTGGTTCTCAGCAAGAACCGGCTGCAGTCGGTGCCACCGGGGGCTTTCCAGGGCCTGGGGGAGCTGCTGGAGCTCTCGCTGCACTCCAATGCCCTGCGCCGCCTGGATGCCCGGGCACTGGAGGGGATGCCCAAGCTGCAGAACATCTCTCTGCACCACAACCAGCTGCAGGCACTGCCACGGGGCCTCTTCAGGGCCACGCCTGGGCTGCGGCACCTGCAGCTGCACTCCAATGCCCTGGAGTACCTGCCCGCCGGCATCTTCTCCCCGCTGACGGCCCTGAGAGAGGTGAGGCTGCACAACAACTCCTGGCGCTGTGACAAGGGCATCCTGCCCCTGCAGGGCTGGCTGCAGGAGAACCCTCACAGGGTGGGTGAGATACCCCCGCTGTGTGCCCAGCCTCCCGCCCTGCAGGGCATCCCCATCGCCGGGCTGCCACAGGACCACTTCATCGACCCCCAGCCCCCCACTGCTGCTGCTCCTCATCCCAGCACCCTGCTCCCTGCTGACACCTCTGCGGCAGCCTCAGATGATGCCTCAGCAGCAGAAGATGCCTCGATGGAGCCCCCCACGGGGCTGCCAGCCTCCCCACAGGAGGATGAGGAGGAGAAGAAAGAGGAGGAAGAGAGGGGGCAGTGGGGGCTGACACGCCTGCAGAGTGGGGTGGTGGTAGCAGTCATTGTGCTGGTGAGTGTGGCCCTGCTGGCTGCTCTGGTGGCATTGGTGGTCTATGGCTGTAGGAAGAAGAGCCACGTTGTGCTCATGAGGATGAAGGCTCCGAATGAAGCCTGAGTATCTGGCAGACCCTGAGGGCAGAGGTGCTTGTGGGGGTCAAAGGACATGACAGAGGCTCTGCATCAGCTGCCCTTGCTGACTGGGATGGGACAACATCACCGTGTGTGCTGTGTGTACCACTGTCCTCCTCTGCTTTGCTCTGTCCCTGCTCTGCAGCAGGGCTTCCCCATGGCTGCCCACTGTCCCCAGCCCTTCCTGCCTCCAGTGCAGCCTCTGTGCTCCTTCCCTGCCCGGGTCTAGCAGCTGAGGTGTGGGATGCAGAGAGGGACCCCTCGAGCCAGGAGCCACAGCCTGGCCATGATGGTGCTTTACCCCAAATAACAGGACTTCCCCATCGTTCACCTTGCCTCATTCCCTGCAGTGCTGCCCCCTCATGCTGCCTGCTGCCCTCACCCCTGCTCAGCCCCTCTTCCCCACCTTCGGCCCCCACCATGCCTCCCGCCTTGCCCCTGCCTGGGCAGGCAGTGTGAGCCATCATGCTGGGCCACCTTTGCCCCAGGGGAGCTGTGTGTGCTCTGCTGCTCCATCCATCACTCACCGGTGCCTGGGCAGGGCTCCCCGCAGGGCTCCAGACTGGCTGGCACACCCTGAGTGTCTCAGCTGCGTCCCAGCTGCCCTCCCTGCCTGCAGGCAGGGCAGGCCAGAGCACAGCCAGCATCCTCTCCTGCTCCTGGCTCCTGCCTCCTTCCCTCATGCTCCTCCAGCCAGGAGAGGCAGGGACAGTGTGTTGGCATCAGGGATGGGCAGGAGCAGCCCCCCAGCCCTCACTGCACGCTGGTGCTGACCTTGCTGTGGCTGTGCCCCTACCTCAGCCCCACAGGGTGCAGGGGCTTGCACTGTGAGGGTAGAGGAGTGGGACAGTGGGTGTGAAGTGTCTGCAGGGGATGGGAGAAGCTCCTGTGCTCATGCTCCTGGACTGCTGGAGCGTGTTGGGGCTGCTTCTACTCCACCCCATTCCTGATCCCCATTTCCTTAACACCCTCCACCAGCTAGTGAGCAACCTGGTCCTGCTCTGCTTGACAAAGCTTCTTCATCCTCTTCTTACTCCCTTGAGTGCCCTCCTGTGTGTGCCCAGTGCCCCTGCCTGGTGGCAGCCCTTGGCCAGGGGGGATGCTGGCAGCACAGCGTGCTGGCTGCTCTGCAGTTTGCAAATGGGTGCCAGTGCCATGCCATCCCCTGTACCCAGCTGCCTTCTCCAGCTGTAGCACGACCATGGGGGATTGAGCTCACCTCCATGTGTGCTGCAGTGGCACTGCTGCCTGAGGACTGCTGCTGTGGGACAAGGTGTGTGTTTGGTGTCCACCTTGCAGTGCTGGCTGCTCACAGCACCTCAGCAGCCAGTGCTGGTACAAGCAGCTCCAGCCTGGTGCATGTGAGGGGCCATCCCTCTGGGCCGAGTCCTGCATGGTAACAGGAGACTCATGACTGTGTCACGGGGCTGTTGGGTGCTGATGTGTGACCTTCTCATTAAAGTGCCACTGTCCACTCCAAGTGCCAAGAGCTGTTTATTCACTCCTTTATGGTGGGCAGCAGGGGAATGGCCCAGCACGGACAGGGGCTGCACTTGATTTCCACTCCTCAGAGATTTTTACAGCGTTGAGGAAAAGCCTGTATGAGTTGGTGAGGCTGGGAGAGGGTTGTGGGCTGTGTTTGCAGAGCCCTTGCTGGTCCCTGGACTCCAACCTGGCATGATGGACCAAGGAGGGCTAAGCCATACAACAGCAGTGGGTGGGCTTTTGGTGAGTAGGCTGAGACCCCAGGAAGCTTCTTGATGGAGACACTGACTGTCTCCTGCACAGTCCACTGCTGGGGTGGTGGGAGCTTGCTTGGCTCCCTTCAGAGCTGGCTGCCACTGAATTGTGTCAGCTGTGTTTTTCCATGTGTCACCATCTGCTCCATGAGTGCAGTGAAGTGTCCCTCCTCCTGCCCCTCAGGGTGTCTCCATGGCTGCTGCCAGCCCAGACTGTGCCAACACAGGCCCTAGCAATGCAGCTTTTATGGCAGTGTGGGCTGCTCCTCTGGGCAGGCTGAAACTCTTAGGGAGTTCAGCTGATCCATGGCTCCCTCGCCATCCCACTGCTGGCTGGGATGCAAAACCCCATGATGGTCCCACAGTGGTCCCCTCCCCAGAGAATCATAAGGTTGGAAAAGACGTCTAACCTCATGTACAGCCTTCATCTGCCTTGCTAAGCTGCACCTGGTCTCTTCTCTCATGGCAGGGATATGTTGAGCACCATTTCCCAGTGAGATTTGATAAAAGTCTGGGGCTCTCTTAGGAGGTTTCTGGAAGCCAGTATGCTGACCTTGGTGTGGGCCTGGAGCCACCTGTGACAGCAGCACCCTGCCACCATCCCTGCCCCAGTAGATGTCCGGGGCCAGAACCCCATTTCCTTGCCAGGATGCTCACAGGCAGCTGCCTCTGGCCTCACCTCCAGTCCCCTGGAGGCTGGGTTATTTTTCAGTGTGCTCCAAGGACACGGGCTGTTGTTGCTGATAAGCCGTGAGGGCAGCTCCGCCCCAGCAGGAACAGCTTGTTCCTGGCCTCCCATCCGCCCAGAAAACACTGTCCCATCCCAGCCAGCAGCATCCCTGCACATCTGCCACACGTTTGGTGACCGACCCCGTGATGCCACACTTGGTAAGTGGTGCCCACACTGCTTGGGTAGTTTGGGGGCCTGGGATGGGTGGGAGCCTCTGTTGGCTCTGTGAGCACAAGCAAGAGGGAGGAAAGGAAATGCCAAGGCCAGTGCTGCTCTCAAGTGTCAGTGTAAGTTCAGGGGAGCTCCACTGATGCAGGGTGTTTGTAGGTGGGCCTTGCTCTGGGGTGGGCAATGTCCCCCATCATGAAGCAGCACTGCAATGTATCCCAGCTAGGGAGGGACTGGCAGAGGTCTGGGGGCCACCACCTCAAAAAGTGCTTCTGTGGGCTGGGAATAGGCATTTAGTCAGGCTGAATATCCCTCCAGCAGGTTGATGCTGCTCTGATTCCCTGTGGAAAAAGAAAACTAGAAATACAAGTGGTGGGGCCCACAGCTACTGCCACTGAGCTGAGAGCAGCCCTGCAGGGCTGTCGCCATCACCCAGTGTGCACAGCACAGCCCTGTGTTTCACAGATTCTCCTGCCCTAGAACCTGGCTTTGTGCCTGTGGAGACATCTGATGAGGGTACAGGTTTCCCCCAAGACTTCCGGGGACCTACACAGGTCCCACCTCAGCAGCTGCTCTGCAGGATGTGGCTGCTCACGGCCTCTGGTGAGGGTGGCATCACCCTGGCTGTCACAGGGTGGGCTGGGGCACAGATAAAAACCCTGGGGAGACAGCTGGGAGGGAAATGCTTCCCATTCCTGCAAGGGGAGTGCTGGGGAGCTGCTGGCAGCAGGGTCTGGAGTGATCCCCATGGCCAGGGCAGCTGCCTGTGCTGGTGGTGTCTCAGAGCTTGATCCTGCATTTCTGGCTGCAGAAGCCCTTTCCCCAGCAGTGCCTGTGGGTGCACAGGCTAAGGCTTGGTTCCTTCTCCAGTGCAGGCTGCTGATCTATGTGCTGCTGGGGCTGGGGTCCCTGCTGGTGGGGGCACTGTCCCCATCCTGCCCCCCTGCCTGCCAGTGCTATGACACCTCCAAAGTCTTCTGCTCCAATGAAGGGATACGGGAGATCCCGGAGGGCCTGCCAGGAAGTGCCACCCACCTCTTCTTCGTGGAGACAGCCCTGAGCAGCATCCGCAGCGGGCACTTGGGATCCAGCACCACACTCACCAAGCTGGTCTTCATCAACAACAACATCCAGGAGCTGCAGCCTGGTGCCTTTCAGGGGCTGCCCAGCCTCACTGAGCTGGAGGTGTCAGGCAACCCCTTGCCAGCTGTCAGCCCTGGGACGCTGGCAGGGCTGACCAGCCTCAGCAAGCTTTCCCTCAGTGCCAACACCATCCGCACCCTGCAGCCGGGGCTCTTCACTGCCTCTTGCCACCTGCAGGACCTGAGCTTGGCAAGGAACAGGATTGAGGCACTGCCCCCTGGCATCTTCCGCCCACTCCGGCGGCTCCAGGCCCTGGACCTGTCACAGAATGCTCTGCCCGAGCTGCCGGATGGTCTGCTGGCCCCACTTGTCACCCTTCGTGTTCTCAAGCTCAGTGACAACCTGCTGGCACAGGTGCCTCCTGGTGCTTTCAGGGCGCTTGGCCAGCTCACCGAGCTCCACCTGGACGGCAACCAGCTGGAGGAGCTGCCCTCGGACATCTTCTCCAGGCTGGGGGCGCTGCGGCGGCTGCAGCTGCAGCACAATGCCCTGGGCAGCCTGGCCCCCGACATCTTCACAGGTCTCCTCAACCTCACTGTCCTCAGCCTGGAGGGCAACAACCTGGCCACTGTGCCTGCCCTCCTGTTTGCTGGCACCCCTGGCCTCCTCCACCTCTCGCTGGCACGCAACCGGCTGGAGACACTGCCCCAGGAGCTCTTTGCGAACCTGTCAGTGCTGGAAACCCTGGAGCTCTCACACAATGCCATAGATCACCTGCCCACCGGGGCTTTCCAGGGTCTGGAAGGGCTGACAGAGCTCCAGCTGAGCCACAACAACCTCTCCAGGCTGCCGGCGGGGCTGCTGGCCGGGCTGCCTCTCCTCACGGCCCTGGTGCTGGACCACAACCGCCTGGCCCGCCTGCCTGCGGGGCTCTTCGATGCCAACGATGAGCTGGTGCGTGTGGGGCTGGCTGGCAACCCCTGGCTCTGCGACTGCCACCTCTCCTACCTCCTGCACTGGCTCCAGAGCTTTGCTGAGCCCCTCACCCACGGCCAAGCCTTCTGTGCCAACCCGGCTGCTCTCCAGGGCCGGTCCCTGCTGGAGGTTTCCCGCGGGCAGCTGCAGTGCCCGGGAGCACACGGTGTCCCCCCGGAGGAGGGCTGGGACACAGATGCTCCGGGGCAGTGCACCTACAGCGACCCCGAGGGCACGGTGAGCGTGGCCTGCAATGCCACATCGTGCCAGCAGCTGAACCTGCGCCTCCCTCCTCCCGGGCCGGAGCGGGGCCTGGGGGCGGCCTACCGGCGGGCCTGGCTGCTGCGCTCCCGCTGCGGCACGCTGCAGGTCAGCGTCCTTGTCACAGCGCAGAGAGGGAACGAGGTCACACCACCAGCACCCCTCGCCGTGCCCTGAGGCTTGGGCAGGCGTTTGCTTCTGCTCTGGCAACCTCTGGACCAGCCTGGGAAGCAAACATCTCTCCGTCTCGCTCTGCTACCTCTGCCATGGTCCCCAGCTGTCCCCGAGCTCTCCACAACAGCTGGCCTGGGGCTATTTACCCTCTCAGCTATGTGTTTCCTGTGTATTTCAAATATAATTAAAATGTATCTACTATTTCTGTGTACTAGTTCCCATGGCAGAGAGAGGAATCATTCTGTTCCTCCCACCACTGTCCGTGTGTGTGGGAGAGACAGCGAAGGCCCATGTGGTACATTGGGATCTTGCCAGGAGCTGCATGGTGGGGCATAGTGCAGGTGCCTGGGGGTGAGTAGGTGCCACTCTGGCATTCTCATGTTGTGCTCGTGTCTGCCCACTGCAGCCACCTCCCCTTGGCACCACAGAGGGAAGAGAGCTGCACCCTGGCAAAACCTGAGGGCACGGATTTGTGCTGTCCACGGGAGGTGTGGGTGAGGGCTGCTGATTGCCCAGCAAGGGGCATGAGCTGCCTGCCTGCAGGGTGAGCCCAGGTGAGCACAGGCAGGTCCCACTCCTACCATCTCAGGGCTTGGTGTACAGCCCTGCAGCCTGAACATGGAAAGTGGCAACTTTCACATAAACTTTGCCGTGAGGGTGAGTGGAACAGGTTGCCCAGTGAGGTCGTAGAGCCCCCTTCTCTGAATATACTAAAAAGCCAAGTGAACAGAGCTATGGGTACCCAGGGAACCCTACTTCAGCAGGGAGGTTGGACTAGATGGCTTCCACTGGTCTCTTCCAACCTCTCCCATCCTGGGATTCTCACTCTGACCCGTGGAGATGAGGCACAAAGTCTCAGCAGTGCTGCCCACCCGGGGGTGACAGGTAAGGCGTGTGCTCCCCTGGGAGGGCGAGGTGGGTGTACTAAGTGCACAGGTGTCTGTGTGTGTGTCCGTGTGAGAGTGTCCCTGTGTCTGTGCGTGTCAGGGCCGGCCTGTCCGTGTGTGTCTGCCCGTGCCCGCGGTGTCTGCGAGTGTTCCTGGGTGTCTGCGAGTGTCCCCGTGTCTGTCTGTCCGTGCCTGGCGGTGCTGCGGCACCATCTCGTGGCCATCGGGACCGGGCTCCGCGGGCAGAGCCGGTGCTGGGGAGCCCCGGTGGGGACATGGATGGATACGACGCTGGAAAAGGGTAAGGCTGTTAAAAATGTGCAGTAGTTTGTTTTTAAATTTGCCAAGAAAAATGCAATGAACCCCAGCAAGCAGAAGCTGAGCTCTTATAGAAGCAGGTGAAAATGGAAGAAGTTTAAATGCAATTGTTGCAATTACCCATTGGGAAGCAATGGACATCCTGGCAGTTTGCCTCAAAATGAGCATCCCTCGGGATGCCCTGCTCTAGCCAGGAGCTCTGGGTGCCACCATGGGAGGATCTTTGGCTTGCACGGGGATGCAGCACACAGCGCTGGGGTCAGCAAGGTGGAGCTGTGGGGCTGAGCACAGAGCCCGGGTGTTGTTGTATCTGTCCAGCCATAAATGTTTCACTGTTTGAAAGCGTTAAAAAATGGCTTCAGAACTGCACTTTTAGCTACATAAGGCAAATGCTGAGGAATGAAACAGCTGTCTGTTGTGACGGTGAGGGTGGTGTTTGTGAAACTGGTGAGTTATCCTGCTGGAGATACAGGACCACAGAGACCATGGCTGCAAACAGGCTGGCCTGGAGATCTTCAGCTTTCCCTGGCTGTGACCAGTCGAGTGGTGCCAGCAGATAACGCCTGGGGAGTACGTGACTGCGTCCCCTCCAAGGGGTTTCTGCCGCGGCCTCCTGCACTGGGGGCACAGCTCCCTGGCCGTCCCTTATCTCCCCACACAGACTGGTGTCCTGACCTCACGTGAAACTGAGCCCGGTGCCTGGGACGTGGATAAAGAGCTGGCCAGGTGATGAGACCCCCATCCGGTGTCCTCACTCCTCCATGGCATGGCTCGCCCCGTCCCATGGCTGAACTCGTTTGCAAGTGCTCAGCCAAGTAAGTGATGCAAAATGCTTCTTTTGCGCTCTTTAAAATGTGCTGGGAGGGGCGGTGTGGAGGGCTGTTGGTGTTTCCTTGCAGCAAGGAGCGGGGGAGGCTTCAGTGCCATGAGCTGGGACCATCTCTCCATGACTCTGCCTGGCTGGAGTGGGGGACAAGCATAGGACCACAGTGAGGGTTTTAAAAGGGTTTTGTGGTTCAAAACTGTCCATTTTCATCCTCACATCCTCAGATGTTTCTACATTTCACCCAGTGCACTGCCCCTGCATCAGAAGTGAAGCAGGCACTTCTACAGCCACAGCCACAGCTCTTCCACTTGAGTTTCCCTGGGGAGAGGATGGGCAGGGAGCAGCAGTGGCTGAGCCCTGGGGGCAGCCTGCACAACCAGTGTCACCTCCCATCCATTATCTTCAAACTCAGTGGCTTTCAGTCTCCTGTATTTGCTGATGTTTCTATGTTCTTTAAAAAAATAACTTTTCATAGAAAATTTACCCTCCTAGAATAAGATTTTTTTGCATGGCCAGCTTTGATGGTCACCCAAGAAGAAACTCGTACCTCTTTTCCCTGCTCCCACCCAGGGCTGTGAATTAAAAGTTGGAAATATGGTCCCAGTGAGGTGCTCATGGCAGTTAAACCCCAGTTAATGTGTTAGCTGAGTGTTTCCAAATGTTTCCATGGATGAAGTGGGCTCTACTAGTAGGTGTGCATCAGTGATTTCACTTCCTACCTGCAAGGTCAGAGCCCCAAATGTTGGGTGTTAAATAGTTCATCTGTGGACATTCCAAGGTTTTAATGAGCCTTGCTGTAAAGCTTGGTTGCTGTTCTCAGGTTAACTATTTCTGTCTATCAGAGCTTCATGACCAAGGCCAAAATATGGTACAATTACCAAGAATCCTAAAAAAGAAGTGCTTAGAAACCATGTTTTAAATCAGCCCCTTGAACTAAGAGAAGCAGAAATGAAATAGCAAGTCTGCCTAGCACAGTGTGGAAATTCTAAGCACACAAGGTCCTGTGGTCTTGGCTGGCTCCTGGGAGCCCTGCTGATCCCTCATTAGCAAGTGCAGGGCTGACTGCTTCTGTTGTTGCATGAATGGGCTGCTGCCCTGTGACTAACTGGACCCGCTGGGGCAGCACTAATGGCAGCAGCACTTTGCCTTCTTCACCCAGACAGGCTGAGCCTGCAGTTCAAACACGTGAGAAGGGCCAGAGAACAGACTGTCCAGCCCTTGTCCCTCCTGCAGCATCTCCCAGTGCAAGCCATGAGCTGGCTTGCCTTCCCTCTCCATCCCTTGGTACCAGCAGCAGTGAACTCGTGTAAATACTGTGTATGTTTGCTTGTCCAGTCTCTCTTTCTCATGAAATGAATCACAGTATGTGAATAGAAGAGTCCTGAGAGCTGAACAAGTGTGATACCACAGTTCATGAACTGTGGACAGAGATTTATTGCTCTTCATAACTGATTTTTGAAACTTTTTTTTCCAGAACAATGTACCAGCATTTCCTTTTCCTTTTCCTCTTGTCCTTCAATCCCCATAAATGCCAAGATCAAATCCCGGGTGAAGATCCATATGAAATGCCCAAAGACTATCAGGAGGTCTACAGAGGGATAAAAAATGATGTCAAAGAGATCCCAAAGATTGCAAAGCCCTTTGTTTCTGAGATGATCTTTGTGCAAACCAGCATCACTTCTATAAGTAAAGGCGCCTTCAGGTACATGCCCAACCTGACCAAGATTTTGTTCATTGGCAACAAGATCAAGACTGTTGAACCTGGAGCCTTTGATAATTTGGACAAGTTGAGGGACTTGGACATCTCTGGTGCCTCATTAGAAAAACTATCTGTGGGCACTTTCCAAAACCTCCCAAGTTTACAGAGGCTGGAGCTGAGAGACAGCCAGCTCAGATCCATCCCCAAAGGCCTGTTTGATGGGCTGCAAAGTTTGGGGGAGCTCTCCCTGCACATCAATGCAATCCCTTCTCTTCCAGAAGGCATTTTTGATTCTCTTGTCAATCTAACTTTTTTGGACCTGTCTAGAAACAGGATCACAGCTCTTCCTGTGAATGCCTTTAGCAAACTCACCCAGCTGCAAGTCCTCCGGCTGTATGAGAATGAGTTGGAGGAGCTCCCAGAGGGACTGCTAGACAGTCAGCTGGAGCTGCTGGAGCTCAGCCTCCAGAGGAACAGGCTCAGGGCACTGCCCCCCATGCTTCTGAGGAGCCTGCCTCACCTGGAGAAACTCCTCTTGGACAACAACCTCATCAGGGTTCTCCCACCTCAGAGCTTTTTTGGTTTAAACAAACTGAAGTTGCTGACTCTGGGCTCAAACCATATTATGGAGCTCCCCTGCTGCCTTTTTGACATCATGCCACACTTGAGGGAGCTGGATCTGGGCAGGAACAGTTTGGCCACACTTCCAGAGGGCATCTTTGTCAACCTCACATCCCTTGGCAAACTCATCTTGTCCCACAACCAGCTCTCAGCCCTGCCAAGAGGGGTCTTCACTGGGCTCAGCAAGCTCTCGGACCTCCAGCTGGACACAAATCAGCTCTCTGCTCTGGATGAAGAGGTCTTTGCTTCTCTCTCAAATCTGAAAACCCTCAATCTTCGAAAGAACCAGCTGGAGAGTGTTCCCCAAGGGCTCCTAGACCCTCTGAAGAAGCTCAGCTCGGTGTATTTGAGTGGTAACCCCTGGAAATGTGACTGTAACCTCTGCTACCTGCACCGCTGGATCCTAGGCAACAGGGAGAAGGTCAAATTGTCCACCCAAGTCTCCTGCAAGAGCCCACCCCATCTGGCAGGGCAAGAAGTAACATTGCTGAGGGACGAACACCTGATTTGCCCAGGTACTCTGCCATTTAACTCCACACCATCACAAAGGACATCAACATTCCTGTCACGTGGAGCTGTGTCCCCAGCAGCTCCAACCATGCTGTCACTGGCATCCTTTCCCATCAGGACACTGCCAACCACTCTTCCACCT